GGCACTATGCTACCAGAGCTCCCGAACTAGCATATAGTACATATATAATAAAATGGTAATTATCACTGGTATAGAACCAAAACATTCAGTGTCACCCTCCATTTATTATTCCTTACTAACAATTATCTACTGAGCCATCTATTCAAGGCACCTCCAAGAGCTGCATCTCCTTTCCTTGAATGCATTATGGGTGATAAGCCTGAAAAGAACATCATCAAACTATTATATCTCCTAGCCTTTAGTTACACGAGCCTTGAAACTCCCTTCTGAAACATACTTTACATCTGTTTAAAATCCAAGTTTCCCATCCTCCCTGCTCAAAGGTCCAAGTTGTGAGAAAGACATTGATCCGAAATGTCTGGGGACCAACCCTGGGTCACATGTTGCCCGATACAGAGCAACACTCATCTGCTTGAGAAACTCAATGGATGATTCTGAAAACAGCCAGAGATCTCTGCACTCACTTCGTCTACATGACTCTGACGAAGTTAATATGAATCATAAGTAGAGAATCAAAAGTATGAAAACCAGAAGGAACAGTGGAGATCTAATCCAACTCCCTCAATTTCATCCATGAAGAAACTAAAGCCCTCAAGAGCACAGAATAAGTCACAGTGGCACAGCCAAAACGGAAACCACAGTCTCCTGGCTGCTATCCTCAATGTTCTGCCCACCACAGGCCAACTGCTTCATTGTTATCTAAAGGCATAGCTTAAACCAAAACCAAGGGACTAAAGGGGGGGAGGGGGGGTCAATGGACTCAGTTTTGAAAAGGAGAGCAGGGTAAATGTACGGGAGCAAGAGGAGGGGTTTGAAAGGCTATATACTAACGTGCTAACCATGCTGTCTCTGCATGGGTTTAATTTTCTTTGCTCCTCTGAATTTTCTGCTTTTTTACAATAAACATTATATTGTTTTTGAAATAAAAAACTTTACTTGGCTAATTTATTTATGCTGTGATGAATCTAATGGAAGCAGTATGATATAGCAGAAAGAGTATGATAGATGTGGTGGGTATAGGTTCCTAAATCAACTCTACCACTTAATGATAATGGGACCTTAGGCAAGTTATTGAACCCATCTGAGCCTCTTTTTTTTCTCATATGTGGCAAGATAATTATAGTAACCTTGCAAATGTGTAACCTTTAAATGCAGGAAAAGAACATAGCACAATGACTGGCACATATAGATATATAATAAAATGGTTCTAGTTGTCGAGAACTCCAACTCATGGAGACTTCACATGGAGCAAAGAAGAACTGTACTCTACAGGGTTTTCAGTGGCTGGTATTTGGAAACTAGATCACCAAGTCTTCCTCCCAAAGCACCTCTGGGTAGACTCTGACCTCCAACCTCCAATCCTCCTGTCAGCAGTCAAGCATGTCAACCATGTGCACCACCCAGGTACTCTAATAAAATGGTAACTAATATTTAAACCACATTTGCAGCTGTGGTTACATGCTGAACCATTAAACTATGCCTCTGCCCTTGAAAAGATGTCATTTCATTTAATGCTCATATCGTTTGTGAAAAGCAGTGTAATTTATAGGGCAACTGAGTGGTGGCTAACTTGCTGGGTTCTTTAAAGAGATAAATATATACACGGGAAGGGTGAGGATTTCCATCATCCAATGAGTTTCTTGAATGCTTGGTTAACTGAAGCCAATTGTCAGCTATCAAAGGCAGGTAGCACCACAATATGAAATAGCACACATCATCATCATCACCATCATCTTCTTCTTCTTCTCCTTCTTTTCTCTCACAAGACATTGCTTTCACCAATAATGGTACATTTTTGAGAGTGACAGAGTGAACTCAGCACTGTCACCCCACCACTCCCCTCCAACAAGAACTTCAAGCACAGTGGAGCGCAGAAGTAACTCGACTGGGAATAGGAACATCTGCTCCCTTCCTAGCTCTGTAACTACACAGTTGGGACCATAAACAAGTCATTGCATCTCTATGGGTCTTCAGTTTCCCTTCTATAAAATGGGATGCTTAAGCCAGAGGAATTTCAGCTTTAAAATCCTGTGGTCTTGTTCTCATATATTTTCAAGGCTTCCCGCAGCCAGAGTCCAAACTACCAAAGGACACACACCCTCTTCCTCAGCAGGCTCCATCTGCTCCGCCTCCCACAATCTCTAGGCTCACTCACAATTTCTCTCTAGTTTGCTCTTACCTTCCCCTTCCACTAAACCACTTCTTGCCACATTTGTGGACTCAACATAAGCCTCTAAGCTTAGATTTTTTTTCAAATGAAGACAGTGGCACTTGTCCTTATCTCTTAGGATAGAATAAAATAGGACAATACATGAGAAAGCACTTTCTTTGAAGAGCTACCAGCATTATTATTTTTCATAAGTCCTAGTTTCAGAAAGAAAATCTTAAAACAACACAAGAGACAGTAAGATGTCAATGTTAACGAGTGATTTGATGACGACTGTGAAAATCCCACTCTTGATATAGACTAGAAATGTCAGAAAGTTGTATTACTGTTCCTTGGGGTAGAAAAGCAAAGATACTGAAAAGGTTAGGAAGCTTTCTCTTTTGAACACTATCACCTGGAGGCATTACTCATCTCCCATACTGGCAGATTTTCTAAGTCAAACAATATCATAAACACACCTGGGGGGCTTTGTGGGCTTCAGATTCAGGGCATATCCGTTTGACAGTGTTAACTGCAAACTAATAAAAAAAAAAAATCATGACATTAAAGCCTTTGAATTTATTGAAAATGAATGTCATTATTATTACTTCTTCTGCATTAAAGTATGCCAGGTTAGATATGAGGAAAAAGAAGAAAACAGAGAGTCCCCAAAACAAAGAGGTTTTTATTTTTGTATCAATAAGTTATCAACACCCAGAGGAATAATATAATACAATGTAAGAATGAGCTATTGTACATGACCAGGAATAAAATATATCTGTAAAGGGATATATCTGTACCCTAATCATTCTGTGAAAAAATATATATATAAGAATGTAATTAGGGGAAAGTAATTTGGGAAGATGTATATTGGAGGAACAAATTGTTTTTTTTTCTGAAAGGAAAAAAGGCATTAGACATTATTGTGAACAAAAGGAAAAAAAAAGAAAAAGATTTTAGAACTATCACTTAAGGACTCTGCTTTTCCCCTATTTCAGAATGTAATCACTCAGACAGGTAAGTAGAGGGGTGTGTGTGATGTGAGTAGGCAGGGAAGGGAGATGTTAATCTCACAGTTACTTTTGTTCTAATATTAGTTTACAAAGTCAATTAATGAATGCCTATCCAAAACAGATCACCACTCTCCTAGAAGTCGTGTAAAAATGTTTTCCCTTATTTCTCTTTGTTAAGAACCTAACCACATTTTTTAAACATTTCAGCTTTATTAATTTGTATAAATATGCCCTTGCCATAATTTGTAATACATTTTATAAGTGACTGGAGGAGATTTCATGCATCACTAATTCATACATATAAATGTGAAGTTTGCATTAAATATCTCTAAACAAAACCCTATTTCCTGGCTACTTTTAGAAGGAATAGGATAAAGAAGAGACAAGAGGACTCTCATTACAAAGACTGATCCTCTTCAAGGTAAGGCTATTCTGTGTTGAGCATCAGTCTGCTAGTCAAGTAAACCTGGTACCGAATCTAAAGAGCCTGAATCTGGAAATACTAGAGTGGTTGACAGGCTTTAAAAAATAACACATTAGAACCAGGGAAAGCAGTGGTTATCAATGGCTGGCAATACTCCAAAGTTGCTTTTTTAGCACTCTTTTTGCTTTTTAGTACTCTTTTAACTCCTTTGGCTACCAATTCTCAACTCACACCCATTTTTAGATTTATGCACAATAAGCCAGGACACTGGCACCACAAATACAGAAAAGAATCAACTGGCATACCTACCCGCATGCATTCTAAGTTACTAGATTTTTCAGGCTCTGCCTTGTTTAAAGACATTAAAACACATGATAAACCATTCCTGAAAATGGGCATACTTTATAGTTTTCTTGGAACATATCACAGCACTTATTACTTAAAATGATATTTTTGAAAATTTCCCTGTCACCAAAAGTGGAATTTTTAAAATGTAATGTATGTGTGGTCTCATAGTTCAATTTCCCCTGAAAAGAAAATTTTAAAAACCATTGAAAAGAGACAACAATGAAGTAGACAATAAATTTTTAAAATTCTTAAACTGCAATGGAAAACACAGTAGACATTTCTTAAAAATAAGATAAAGATGATTTGTTTTACCATTTTATTAATATTGTTAGTCAATTATAATTATAGAAAGTAAATAAAGAAGCTCCTCTATAATTGTTACCGCTAACCAGTGGCTGATATTTTTAAACCCTCAGATGATTTTAATTATCTCAGTGTCCTTATATTTGTACTTCTCCAAGAAACAATTCACCATGATGCAAATATTAAAGAAATGTTTAGATGAATTTGTATTTTTTAGTCGAGCAATCTACAGAAAACACTGGATCCCCCAGAGAAATCATTCTTAGCCATCTAAACTAAACACAGAACATTCTTGAGCAACATGCCACTTATCCTTTAAAAAGCTGAATACCTTAAACAAGATAGGCCTCTGCTGAGTTACATTTTCGGGGGGTAGGGGGCTCTGCTACATAATATTTGTAAGGCCATGGAGTCAGGTAATACTCTTGTTTAAGTACAATATATTCAGATTTAAAAAGAAATTACATAGTGCTGGATTAAATACCAACCATTCTTAATCATAGTTTGAGTCTGATAACCAAAATTAAGAAGTTAATGTCATACAAAATACAGCTCACAAACTAACCAATGCAAAGTTCTAAGCTTTAAACTTTTTGATACTGTCAATAAAATTCCCAGGAAAGGACAATATTGCAACTCTCCTCAGAACATAGGTGTTTTAAATCACAGTTAAACAGACAGAATGTTAAGAATGGTATGGTTTTTATTTTCTATAGCAGGTTTATTGACACTTTTTTTCCAGTAAAGTTTGAAAATCTGACACTACCTGTCCACATAGAAGGGGAAACAAAACTTGGTCAAAGTCTGTAGAACTTCCTGTGGAGAGAAAGAGAGATAATTTATAAATCTAATGGGACCAATAAATCTAACATTAACCACAGCACACAATCTAGCAACTTTACCCTAAAGAAACAGGAGACAGATGAAGAAATATGGGCTTTATCAATTACATGGGAGGAGTACCAGGCAGTCAATCATGAGAAATAATAAACATGATCAAACTTCATTAAAAATGAAAAATTAATCAAGAATCACACATGGGCAAGCAGCAGGAGCCATGCAGGAAAGCTCTGAAGGGAGGGAGGCGGTTGAGTTGCTGAGTGTTAACACCCCTCCAGGGACCATCTCCAGCCTGACCATATGGATCAGAGTGAATAACACCAAGCCACATGGGTTTGGCCTGGCAGGGCCGCTGTTGCTGGCATCGCTTTTGCCTGTTACCTAGGAACGGAGGGGGCCGGGATTAGACAACGCTTCCCAACATCAATAGGCTAAATTACAAGCAGAACATAAAGCCAACTTGAAGAGAAATGTTTCTGAACGTTATGAACTAAATGTTTTAGAGTTTTAAACTTTATTTATCCACTTTATAAAGAAGTTGCCATTTCTGGCAGAAATTTATTTTATAATCGAACTAACAATTATAAGAATGCACTAATTTTAGTTAAATATCACTGTTGGATACACTTACCAGCTTGTAATTTATTAAAATCTAAAGCAAACTACCAGTTTAAATGTCTCTTTACAAATATATAGGCACATAAAACCAAGTACATTTTTCAAGGTTAGTGGAAAGTACAAAAAGTAGAGTGACATTTCAAAGACTTATTGATAAAAGGCAACCATCTTACATTAAGAGAAGGATAAATACTGGTACATGAGACATAGTATACAGTGGTGTGTGTCTTTTCCCAATAGATACAGTTCATATAGAGAGCATATATACACACAGCTAAACACTATACAAAATTTATTATTACTTACTTCGTAGAATTTTCTCTATCTCTACTTAATTTAATTGCAGACTTGAATAGCCCCCAGTTGGTGCTTATTTTAAGTTCACAGGTTAATGGTATGCATTTTTTAAAAAGTATTCTTTCCATGGATTTGATTTGTTCTCTATTTAAAATCCCAACTTCAAGACAAAATGAAGAACACATTTTTCAGGCATTGAGAAGCTGGTTCAAATTAAAACAATCCTGCCCATTGCAAATCCTAATCCAAGTGATAAATTAAAGATCAGTTTACAAATGTAGCACTTTTCTAACCAATAATAATGAATTATCAATGCTAACGGAATTGATGCTTCTCGCTTCATTTATTTTTAAAACCAGTTCTATCATTCAAGAAATAAACCACATCAATCTAATAACCCATTCAATGAAGCAGAAAGTACATTGACTTGCTCTGCCAGAGCATGTTCCGCCTACATAATTCAATTGAGCATACCCTACTTTTTAATATCATCCTGGTCTGGTACTATGTATATCCCAGCACTGCTAAGGTATGTCATCAAATAGTAAATGAATAGGAAACTAAAAAAATGAAAAAGAGTAGATAAGAAAACATTACCTCACAGAATATTCTAAGATGCATTATAGATACATTAGTTAATTTCATTGCGGCATTCAGAAGTCCGTAAGTATTGTTTTAAAACTGACTATGGTTAAATAAATTATAATAGCTCATAAAAAATCAGAAAAGAAAGAATAATTTATCAGCATATAATGTTACTATCAGGCAAATATTGGAAAAGAGATCATTTAAAAGATCCATTTTAATGTCTGCAACTTTAATTATAAAATACACTCTGACCCACATACACAAAATACCAATAATTTACACACACACAAAAACAATTCCTTACATATTTCCTTTCGCCTCAGGTTTCAAATAATACCACAAAGCATCTCTTAACTCAGTATATGCATGAAGCGTTCTTTAAAGCTCAGCACCAAGTGCTCAGACATTGCCAACATCAGCTACAAAGACAGTTATCCTTTACCCCTTAAAAGTTACAGGTGCAGAAAAAGCTTCTCCACTCCATCTATGCTGGAGTTTCACTGGCAAAAGGCCTCAAAGATTGTTGAAAGAAAGGACCCCCATAGCTACGAGAAAGCATTGTGCTCTACAGTAGAGTCAAAGGAATCTAATATGCCCAACTTATTACTCACTACAATATAGAAACTACTTATCACTTTCTGATGTCAAGAGTAATAACCAACCTTGAACTTATCTGTCAGATAATATTAGAACAAATAACAAAATACCCAATCTAGGCTGAGTATAACCCCCTTCCCAAGAGCTTTCCTTTTGACCCAAGAAAACAGTGATAAGTCTAATTAAGCACTGGGGAGGGGGGACACACATAGGCAAATGTAGGCACATGTTTGTATCTTACAATATGTTTCTTCATGTTTGTGGTATTACAAGAGCTTGATATTCCAATTTAAGTCAAACAAGATGGTGGTATGCTGTTAGAGGAGAAAACAAAAATGAGCATCTACTCTGTGTTAGGCATATTCATACATTATCTCAATCAGAAGTGAAATATCTATGTCTTATTTGGAGAAGGGGAAAACAGGAAGAGAGAGAAAAACAAGCAAACTTTTTTGTAAATAAAGACTGCTGAAATAAACCAATTTTCATTAATACTGATGTTTTCCTTATTTAAAAACATTCAACTACCTTACCCTCTTTTTCTAAGGAAGAACACAATTGCTTGAATATGAGAATACTCTCTAAAAGGGGAGGGATTTAAAACACTGATTTAAACACATCTTGAGGGTTATATGTATGAGAGAGTATCCCACAATCCTTTCACTATTAACTTTACTAGGGTCACAGGCACTAACCAGATAGCAATTCCCTTTTCTCTCCAGAATCTGTGTTTTTGGTCAGGGGACTTTCTTTGTAGGTGGTAATTTTCCTCTTCTATCCTTCCCTTCTCTTGCCTACACAAGCTCTTTCAGACAACTAGCCTTAGCATAGCCTCAACTCCATCAACATAGATCGGGTCTTCAGGCTGCAGCACAGCTGATGAGATGTAAATGACCCCAGTGCTGAGGCGGGAGGTGGGTAGGACTGTGTGCCGTTCTACAGATCAATCCCCGAGTTTATATGTTCACAAATCTTTTCATGTACAGTTTGATTTTGTAACATTTTAATGAGCAAAAAAGTGAATCTGTAGTAGCCAGTCACCACAGTTAAAGTGCAGGGCATGAACCAGATCCCAGGAGGGAACCAGTCCACCATGTCACCACTGGCTTTAGGACATTCGCCACCTGGTTCCATGTCCCCAGGTTCCAACTCTTTTCATAATCAAAACACTGCTGACATTATAAACCCCAGACGGGTTTTCTAAAATCCCTCCCAATCAATATATCCAACACATAACTTATTGGAGACAACACTGAGCTCATTGATTAAGGTGAGTTCAGTAGCAAAGTTTTCAAAATAAATGAGACAAGAATACAGTATTCAACCCCTTTGTGTCACCAGACAATTTATGAAATAGGCAATTTCCAAAAGGGCTTTTCTTCCTAACAAAATACACGATATTTCATGCAGGAAGAAATAAGAGCAGAGGGGGCAGGGAGGAAGTGTTGCTCAAACCTCTCAGTTATGCATACATTAAACAGCAGATTGCACAGTGCGGTAGAAAAACAACATCTACAGAGCTCTGCCCACAAGGAGATGTCAAGCCTCAGAGTAGGAATCAAAGATATGAAATTAGCACACCTAACAGTGGATTCACTTGCAAAGGAAATTTAGAAATGAACTCAAGATTCATCTCAGTGACTTTGAATTCATTTCACCCAGTCTGAATTCTCATCTGGTCAGAAGGTCCAACGAGGAAACTTACTCCAATATGGGGAAAATAGATTATGTCAGACTGGGCCATTCTCTTAAAAGTCTGCTAAAGTTGTAAATTTATAATTCATCCATTACAGAACACTATCTGGAAGCAAAACTTTGAAAACTAAATTCTATAGAGTTAACTGGAATTATTATTAATGAGAAGGATAAACCAATTCCCCCTGAATTTGAGCTACACGGCAGGAAGTAAAGATCCTGCAACAGTTCAGATGCCAAATATTCTTTTCATTGTTTCATTGAGACCTATAAACAAAAATTAGTTGTATTTGGCAGATCAAAACAACTGACAGTCTGACACAGACATCCATACCCACAAATAAATGCCATCTGAAACACAAAAGCACACGCTGATTAGAGTACCCACTGAGGTTAGATTCAGAATGTTGGGAGATGAGGCACATTCTCAATAGTTCAAAAGAGGGGGGAGGGGAAATGTGTGCTGGAAAACATTTAAATAAAAGAAAGAGATAGCCTGAATAAATGAAAGTCTTTAAAATGTGTAAAGCCACAATCAGCCTCATTGTGGCTTGCTGAAAGCAGATACAGCAGTCAGTAATAAATATTACAGATAATTTAACTCTGTCCCAAAAGAGAGTGCAGGAGGGGAGAGAAGGGCAAGCGTGGGAGAACAGCCCCTGAGTTTCTTACCTAATTTATTTGTTCATTTCAAAACGTAGCTGTGTGATGAAAAGATCAGGGGAGCTCAAATTCCTGAAATATTCCATTTCTGTGTTTAAATTTTTTTTAATAGCATGAAGGAAATGCTGACCCTTTAAGTTCTGCAGTTGGGATCAGTGCAACTGACTTGAAAGAAAAGCCTTTGATTGATGATCTTAAAACTCAAGGTGAAAGCTAAAAACAGAACACTACAAAATCCAAACATACAAAAAGCTAACAAAATTTCTACATTAAGCCATTTCAAGTTAAAACCAGGGACTCCCTGTGAAAGTTAATAGAGATTCTAAATGCTATATGATCAAGAAGGGCAAAATATAATAGTAAAAAGTTCCCGGAAGCATAATTAACACCAAGTTCAAGAGTGTTGATCAAAAGTTCCCTATATATGAAAACAGGAAATACAATTTTTCTCCTTCACTATAAACGTCAAATTAAATCCAAGATCTATACTACATTTACAACTAAATTTTAATTTTTCT